CCGCATGGTTGTGCCCATGTACCCACCAGAAGTGAACAGCATATTTGCTTTTTAAAAGGTTTTAATTAAATGAAAGGCTACACACTATTTTTTTTAAAAAGGAAAATAAATTGCTCTTGTTGGTACTTTAGTAAAGACCAGGTGGGCAGCCCAGAAAAGGTAAGCACAACTTTTCTGCATAGCTCATGGGAAGTATTAAGGGCAGAAATTATATTATACATCTTACTTTGAACCTTTCCACCCTTTTTTGTTCAGAATAGCAATAAATAGTACTACCCCAAACTGGCCACTTTGCAGCTGAATTTCAACATGATCTGTGGCCATAGATCCATACTGAAATGGAAGATAAAGGGCTAGGGAAGAAAAAGCTGTAAATAAAACAGAGGTTAAAACTGCAACCATAAATTAAGTTTAAGCACAAAACTGTCACTATTATACAGGTATCTGAATCTTAATCATACAAAATATTAAAACTCAATGCATAAGTCAGAGTGAAGTATTCAAACTTTCATAGACCCTCTGTATTTGTAATGAAATTAGCAGTACTGATCCAATTAAATTCCTGTGGATTAGATCTGTAAATCTGAAGCTGAGTTTCAATAATCCACTCATTCTCAGATGTTATTAGTTCTTTGCCTATGACAGTTAAAAAGTCAACTACTTGAAACAAAAACAGTATACACATAACAATCTTAGCTATCAAATCATACAACTCTGTCTTTTTCAACACAGAACCCTTCCCCAGCTTTAATGTTACAGGTTCCTACCAGGAAAGCCAGAGCAAACCAGTAAGGTCTGTTTAACATTTATTAAGAAACTAAGTTTGTACTCTTACACATACTAACCTCAGTGTAACTTACTAAACTCAAAAGGACTCACTTTTGAACAGCATGTGTAGAATCACATGCAAGTCTTTCCTCAATATAATTAAATATGAAAGGGAAAATCTGATTACATATCTGTAAACAGAATAAAAAATGAAGTATAGCCACCACAGACTAGTAAAAAGCAGAAACAGCTGCTTAAGCTCTAAAAGAAAGCAATTTATAGATCAAAAGCAAGTTCAGTGATTTATCAATGCTAAGAACAAATGCCCCCATTTTTTTCTGGGGGAAAAACATCAAACTATACTCCAGAACCACAATCCTATTCATACTATTGAGCCCTACTAAAGGGGAGACTCTCTTGAGCAAACCTAATAGAAAAAACTGCTACAGCATTGTATACAATATTTTTAACTTCAGAGGCAAAGGCTCTTGTTTACTTTAGTGCAGATCACCCCATTTACACATCACATTTATAACCATTAACTCCACTACCATTTTGCTTAAAAGTTCAGAAGGGGTTTTTTGGTAAGAAATTAAGTATGAGCAGTTTTATGTATTGCATATTTCCTGCTATGAAACCATACAATATTACTTTTTTTTCAAACTACAGGGTTACTGCTATCCATCAAAGAAATAATTTCACCAGCTAAAAAGCAAGCAATTCTGCACTTACACACATCTAAATAACCTGTATTATCAACAGCATACTATTCTTTCAATTAAGCAAGAGATAAATGCATTAGACTTTTAAAAAAAATCAAAACATTTCTCACCATAAGTATGTATTGCTGAAAGGGATAAACTTCAAATAAGTTTAGTAAGTTCAAATCCATGTTATTTGACCTCTGCACTGAGAAGTGAGATTTGGTATTAAAGTTTAGACTACTTAAATGTGTACTTTAGAAATACTCAGATGCAAATCATTTTTAATGTGTCACAGCAGTATCATAAAAAGCCAAATCAAGGTAAGGACCACCCGCAGAAGGTAAAATTACCCCTCTCCCTCTTTTCTAACCAAGTGCACCTTACTTCTCTTCTGGCCACCGCTTCTTTCCCACCTGTATCAGAGCAACGGAAGGCATGAAAACAGGGAGAACGGAGCGAAGCTTTAAAGAACCAAGTCGCGAAGAAGGTCCCTCATTTCGTCGCGCCCCC